GTAAAATGTTTCATTAAGACTGCTTTTTAGAAATATAGTAAAAATATTTTTATTGAAATTTCCTTTATTACAGAAAGAACATATGTACATTTTAAAAATTAAAGAGTACATGGGAGGAAAAAAAAATCTCTCACAGTCATGCCACCTAAAGACTGATAATTTGTCTCTTACAAAAAAGAGAATAGTAATAGGTTCCAATCTGAAAGTAAATATGTCACTATTACCTTTGTACTATTAATAAATTTTCGCTATTTATTTTGCCCCATTGTGTTTCATCTATAATGCTTTATTATGTGAAAATTATTCTCAGCTCCCTAAACTCAGGTGACTATTAGCAGAGTCTGATTTTAGGCCATCTTATGCAGTAATACTGCTTATTACTTTTCACTGATACACTTTCTACATGTTTGCACTGTTAAATCCATAAAGTTACTTTCTTTAAAGCACCCATGTTTATTGCATCCTCTCACTCTCATTTTCCCAAGAGAAGTATGCAATGATGTAACTATAATGTTCTGAGTAAGATCTTGGAAGTTATCTAAAAAATACCTTTTTACTTTAAATTTTTTCCAAAGGCCCAGAAAGAGTTACTAGATACTGAACTGGACCTCCACAAGAGGTTATCCTCAGGAGAAGACACAACAGAATTACGGAAAAAACTTAATCAGTTACAGGTTGAGGTAAGATTTAAAAGGAATTATTAACTCACCTCATTTAACATCTTAAAAAAGTTTTCCAAGGTTCAGTCTAACAATGTATATTACATTCTACCTTTTGTTATTCAGGCTGCACGATTAGGTATTTTACCTGTGGGTCGAGGAAAGACCATGTCCTCTCAAGGTCGTGGAAGAGGCCGAGGCCGTGGAGGAAGAGGAAGAGGCTCGCTGAATCACATGGTGGTAGACCACCGCCCCAAAGCACTAACAGTTGGGGGATTCATTGAGGAGGAAAAAGAAGATTTACTTCATTTCTCAGTAAGTTTTTAAAGTAGCAAATGCTAACTCTAGAAACACTGTATTCAGTATTTTCCTTGCTGCGGTTTATATAAATGTCAGACGTTTTATGGATTAGAAAATATAGTTGTAAAAACATGGATATTAGCAAATTCCTATTAATATATTTAAAGATGAAGAAGCAGCTCTTGCTTTGTAATCCCTTAATACTCTACTTAAATGTAATGATAAGTTGTCCCAAAGCTACAATTGGTTTTTTTTTTTTAGGATTATTACATGATTTACCGGGTATTTATAATCAATAATGAAATAATCTGGGATGGAGATAAAATTCAAAGAAAGATTTTATTAGGATAACAGACATGTTTATTTATATTATATTCTGTATGTAATGATGACCATTTACTGTTAGGCAAACATGCAAATAGAGATCTGCTACAGGCAAATGTCTTAAAATTTTGGACATATACAGTGCATATTCCCTTTCCAAGTACTCACTCATTCATTCAGTTAGTATTTTTTGAGCATTATTTGTGGTAGAGCATTTTCATATGTGATCTCATATATAACATAAATAACTGGATAAATGTGAAATACATGTGAAATCCTATGTATGCAGATATGAAAACCAAAACTTCAAAAATGTCAACCAATATATAGTTAATGAATGGCAGAACCAAGATAAACAGGTTCCCTATTCCTGAAACAGCTTTTGTGAGAGGAAACATTTCCAGCTCTACTAAATGTTAGAGATGGTGAGGGAAATCATGAAGAGCAAGGCTACACTCCAAGTGTTTTTATTAGTTTAATGCCCATGAATCCTGTTTTACCCTGGCTCTTGAAGATGGACTGTTATAAAAAGTGTCCAGATTTGAGAGTCATCTGAGTTGCGGCCGCTTCCCTCTTGACCCAGTTTTTCACTGATGTGACCCTTATTTTCGTTTTTTGTAAAGTGGGAGAATAGCTCTAACTGACTTCTTTGAAGAGTGAAGAAGAGAATATATGGAGGAACACCACACAAGTGCAGGGCGTTCTTGTTGTAAAGGCTGTATAAATGTTGATTTTTGTGTTTTAATGTTGAATATATAAAATTAAAATCTCCTTGCCAGATAAATTGGGCATTTAGACCCATCACAGCTCTGGTGAGGTGATATTGGAAAATGTAAAGCAAAATTTTTATAAATTTGCCTCCTTGCAGAAAGTTCCAGTTACAAAAAGGAGATAATCTTGTTAGGAAGGAAGCTGCATTTTCTGTCCTCCAGTCACTGGAGACTGTACCTAGATGTTTAAGTTTTGACCCAGAAGTCATGCTCAAATGAATCTCTTTCCTTCTCAGAAATAGAACCATTCTAAAGGATCTAATAACCAATTTTTATGCACATATTCTATATTTGATTAGTCTGGAATGTGGCATTCATTTGGCAGATACGAGTGTGTCCAGGCATTTGGGGAAGGACCAAACAAAGCTAAGGCAGATGAGATGACCTCAAGAACAAAACAGTGCCATCAAAACATTGGTTTTGATGGCTTTTTCTTTTTTTTTTAGGGGGGAGTATGGGATGCCATCAGATGGTTTTGCATACTGGGAGGACACTTTCTCTAGTATTAAATAATAGCTACTTGGACAATATAATATGCTTTCTTTCAAAGAAGTACAGAAATACATATGCTTAGACATTATTGTGAATAGATTTAGCA